GTTAGAGCTTGCCTAACATCATCTGTGGATATATTTTCTCATTCTTGCAGAGGTGTATCCAGAAGTCGTTCTTCTTCACGCCGTATCCATTCTGCATTTGGGTTATATTCCTTTGGGCTGCTCCAAATATTTTCCCAAAATGTCTGTACATTATCAATCGATGGTGGCCTTTCGACATGTATAGGTGTTTTTCCAATTTCCGTGTAAAATTTCTTAAGATCTGTTCGGAATATTTTATTTGGGCGATAGAACCTACAACGTTTTTCGTATCGTCTTGTTCTCTGCGCCTTTAGCTGAAGTTTCTGCTTCAGCATTTCCTTGATTGATGGAATGTCATTTAGGGATTTAATGTTATATTTCCGCTTGATCTTTTTGCATTTAAATGGAAATATTAGGGTTTCTGGTGAGCTCATCTAATATAGAAAGCTCACATCTGATTTGCTTTATTTCTCGTATCAGTTTGGTTTTCCAAGCTGGTTCTCTGTGTCTGCTAATTTTATTTATTTATTGTCTTGACCCCAAGCTTCCGAGTCGCTGCTAAAGCTGTTGCGTATATGACGTTGTTAACTTCTGTGATGTTTCCCGGTGGTTTATCTGTTAACAGTGTTTCCCGAGCAGCATTGTATATTTTCACGATGTGCTTGTTGGAATTCGTCATATGGATTTTCGGGAGCTGGTCTCTGTCTGACAATTGTATGAAAGTTACTCTGATGAGTACTTGGATGACGTCATTTTTCGCTTCGGTGATTTCAGCTTCCTGGTTTTCAAGGAATTCTAACTTATTGTCACTGAAGATGACTCCAGATACATTTTCTGGAGAACTACTGGTTGTGTTTAAGGTAGAGTCTTGGGTTTCATTTCCTGGGAGATTATTTCGTATTTCATTCGCTTTAGCGTCCACCTCATCCACTGTCGCTTTCCTTATTTCTACATTCATCTCAATAGAGTTTGAGTGATGGGTCATAGTATTTTGTCTTATATCTAATTTTATCTTATCTATTTCTGCCTTTGAGAGTCTATTGTTTTGCATGATGTCTCTACGGACATTGGCAAGCATGTTTGTATTGAGGTTAGGTCTTATATCATTTCCCACCGTACTTCTCCATATTTGTTATGTTTGATTGGTGGTGTTCTTTGCTGGGTTTTCGAGTGCAGTGAAGAAGGATGCCATGACTTGTCGATACTCTTCGCGGCTCCATTTCGTTCGTTTACTTTTTATTAGTCGATTTGGTATTGAGTCACTTGGGCCAAGGTTGGCAATAATCCGGGTTTGGTGACCTAGTGTCTCTTCGTGTGTGGAAGAGTTTGTTCCAGTGACAGACTTTTCGTCCTCAGACTGGTTCTTCTCTGAGGGACGCGGCCCTTGTTGTCCCGGTTGACAGCCGATCCGGTATGAAATATTCGTATTCATTGAAATTGGTAGAGATGCGTTTTAACCTTGACCGCCAAGGGGTAATTATGTTCAGGTTACCAGCTTTAGGACGAGTCTCGAAGAAGATCCAAGAGCACGCCCAGACAATGAGATTGTGGATTTATTAATATATCGAAGGTAGAACAGTTCATTTATTATTATTATTATTATTATTATTATTTTATTTCCTTTGATTTCTGGTGTGTACACATTACTTTCCGGGTCCCGCCCAGAGACCTAAGGTTAGGAAAGGCATCATAACATTTTCCACTGACAGAAAATTATTATTATTATTATTATTATTTTCTTTGATTTCTGGCGTTTACACATTTCTTTCCGGGTCCCGCCCAAGGACCTAAGGTTAGAAATGGCGTCATGACACTTTCCACTGACAAAAAAAAAAAAAAAAATTAAATTACATAGATAAAGCCCTTCGTAAAGTGTGGGCTGTACTTGTCAGAACAATTTTTTGTATCTCCTTGAGGCATGGACTTCCAGGAATCCCTTCAATTAGTCTACTGCAATCTTTTCCAACCAGTCCTAGGGCTCCAACTACAACAGGGATTGTTGATGTTCCCATATGCCACATTATTATTATTATTATTATTATTATTATTATTATTTCCTTTGATTTCTGGTGTGTACACATTTCGTTCCGGGTCCCGCCCAGAGACCTAAGGTTAGGAAAGGCATCATGACATTTTCCACTGACAGAAAATTATTATTATTATTATTAATTTATTTCCTTTGATTCCTGGTGTGTACACATTACTTTCCGGGTCCCAACCAGAGACCTAAGGTCAGAAATGGCATCATGACATTTTCCACTGACCAATTAAACACACACACACACAAACACACACACACACACACACACACACACACACACACATTTTACATAGATAAAGCCCTTCGTAAGGTGTGGGCTGTACCCGTGAGAACAATTTTTTGTATTTCTTTTATTATTAATATTATTATTACCATTATTATTCTTAGGCATTATTATTATTATTATTATGCATTATTATTACTACTATTATTTTTCATTATCAAACAAAATGATTGACGTAACTCCAATATTTTTCAACACTTAGAGAAGCGCGCGATTTAAAAAAAAAAAAAGAAAAAAGAAAAGACACATTGTTGGACAGTGTTTAACAATATTTCGACAGTATGTTTGTATTCTTCAAGTTAATGTTTGAAAATTGTATACAAATATAAAAAAAATTACAAAATCTATAAGTCTTGGCAAAAACACCGCTTGTCTTGAGAAAAAAAACACTGATGTAGTGGTAATCAACGCGTCAAAAAAAAATCAAACGCAGTCAGCGTGAATGGCATGCAACTGAAACGTGGCAATTCCCAATGGTGCCAGACACTGGAATAGTCTTTCCCGACAGATATTTTCAAGAAGTCACCGCCTTGACAAATCGATCAAAATATTCGAACCTGGGTTTGATCGCTAATGTTCTAATCACAAGACTACGCGCTCAAACTGAATGTAAAATGACGAAACAATTAATTTACCGATGTTTAATGGTAAGGGTAATATTAACCGTATCCTTATAAGGAAACATTCGACGTTCACTAACCGAGCAGCTTGTGATAATCGAGTAACGCTTTTCTTCATTCACTGGCCATCGGGATGGGATCAAAGTGTAGTATCTGCTTTCAAGCAGACAAACTACATTTTGTCTCTCTATTGTGATTTTGACTTCGGATAGAGCACAACAAATAAATGAGGGATGTCTAATTCCGAGGATTCCAATCCTCTATCAGTACCTCCCGCATTGTATCAAAGAGAGAGGGTCGATAGCGGCGGCTGGGTTATTTTTGAACCTGACCCAGGTGCATAAAATCTTTCTTTTAAAAAAATTTCAGTACATGGGAAACCTATATATCTATATATATATTCTCATTCAGAGGCAGACTCTTTCGCTGTATCACAGTTCACCAGTGTGGCTAGACGTCCGGTTGCTTCTAGCTAGGATCGAAACCCAGCTGAATTGGCCTAAGTCAGAAATTCTACCCCTAAGCCGTTGAAGCACGGCAGGGATGAAGGTGAATTTGAGCGTATTCATTTTTAGATAAACACACACTGATTGAGAGAACTCGATTCACTTTAGTGAAGAGTCTTACATTATTAGTCTTAATGGTCACTGTTTACAAACTCACACTTCCTCCCCAGAGAACTCAACAGAAATAAATTTTTCAGCAGCATGTATATTGTCATCCACAGACAGACTGTTTCGCTGTATCACAGCTCATCAGTGTGGCTAGACGTCCGGTTGCCTCTAGCTAGGAACGAAACCCAGCTGAATTGGCCTCAGTCAGAAATTCTACCCCTAAGCCGTTGGCGCACGGCAGGGGGAAGGTGAATTAAACCGTATTTATTTTTAGATAAACACACAGTGACTCAGAGGACTGAATATATATATATATATATATATATATATATATATATATATATATATATATATATATCGAAAAAAAAGTATAAAACTATTAAGTTTTTATACTTTTATTTCGATCATTAAATTTTGTACCTACAAAAATATCTTTATATATATATATATATATATATATATATATATGAATGTATTAAATAAAAAATAAAACCATTGGTGGAACGAATAGCTTGCTAAAAACCTATATACTCTTAAACAAATGAAAACATCAAACAAGGATAGCAATAGGCAAAAAAAAAAAACCTAAAGGCAGACACCAACCTACTCAGTATAGTGCTTAATGACTAGATTACCTAGACTGAGAAAAAAACGCTTGACAATGCTAATTCCGATGAAACGTTAGCCCTTGTCCTATACATACATACATATATATATATATATATATATATATATATATATATATATATATATATATATATATATATATATATATAAAGTTACCTTAAATACAACTGACAAAATATTGCCGTTAAGCTTTTTATTTAATTTTTTACTTTGTATGAGTTTGTCCGAATGTTTTTGTATATCCGAGCGATTGCTTTCGGCTATTTTATTTTTTTTTTTACTGAAACGTGTATTGCTGTCCAAATAAAAGAATTTTATATATATATATATATATATATATATATATATATATATATATAGTGTAACCCGGATATAAGTGAGGTGTCGGGACCGGAGAAGAAGTCTCTTATATCCGGGTTTCTCTATATCCGGGTTTGGTCTATATGTATACATTAACACAGGCTCTAATTTGGGACCAGAGAAAGTCTCTCTTATATCCGGGTTTCTCTTATATCCGGGTCTCTTATATCCGGGTTACACTATATATATATATATATATATATATATATATATATATATATATATATACACACGTTCTTTTTGTTCCGTATAGGATACAGGTTCGATTCCTGTCGTAGGACGCATATATTCTATGAAGATTTCTCGGACATTCAGGCCGGTAAATGTTGTTAATACTGTTTATTATAAGCAGAGAATTTATTTAATTATTTGTAAAGAACTTATAAACATAAAAATGTCTTAATATATATATATATATATATATATGAACCTTTGGGTACACATAATAATTATATCACTTTTTTCTTCTTTTTTTGCTAGGAATGGACGTTAATATTGGAATTAAAGGCCTCGTGTCCTTGCCGCCATTTTTGGACATGGTCAGCTGGGCGGAAACGGAAAACCATATTACCTCTGCGCTTGCGTACAAAGCTCGTCATGCTGATAGAGTATGTCGTGAAATTGTTAAGCACGGCTTAAGGGAGTACATGTTCACATGAAGAGCACTCACATTTCTTCGTCCATGTCATATCATTTACAAACATGAACAAAATATATATATATATATATATATATATATATATATATATATATATATATATAATAAAAAGATAAAAACATATTGATCAGATTTTAATAAAATTTACAAAAAAAAAAAGAAAAAAAAAAATGAAGAGACGCTTACTACGGTTCCAACCGATTGAAACGAACCGATGGTAAAGACATTTGTCTTTCTTTAAATTAATAATAAATAAATGTAATAAAATATACGAGTATTGCATCTTTGGCATAAATTCTCAGGCTGTTTCGTCGCTCGAATAATGGCACTGAAATGCTTGGACAACTATTGGTTTTCGATAATTTCAAAGAAAACATGTTCTGCCTACCTATAAAAAGTCATTATAAAAGAAAAAATATTAAGAGAAAAAGTATTGAAATAATATACCAATATTTTATAAGCCAGACTGTCATGTGTCACCCTCAAGTACTGAATATAGTGTAAACTGGTTCCAAACAATGGTTTCAAATGGTAGATCGGTTTCAAATAGCATATAGCTTATTGGTGTAACCTTGTACTCTGAAGATTCTCTATTTGCTCGCTTAAAAGAAGATTTCACTAAATTATTTATATATATATATATATATATATATATATATATATATATATATATTGGATATTACATCTAAAACATGTCAAAATTGCTACACAATCTCTTGTGTTTCGATGCGTATCAAGTGCATCTCATGAGGCGATTATAAATTACTGGCGGGTGAACAATTTGTTTAGATCTAAGTAAATCGTTCAGTCTCCAGTAATATACATTAATATTACTGGCGACTGAACGATTTACGCCAGCAATTTGCAATCGCCTTATGAAATGCCTTTGATACGCATCGAAACACAACTGCAATTATGTAGCGATTTTAACATGTTTTCGCTGTAATATCCTAAAATAAAGAATATTGCTCTACTTTGTAGTGAGCCCTCTCTTAAATTAAATGTCACGAACGTTGCAATTTTACTCATCTTAACTGTATATATATATATATATATATATATATATATATATATATATATATATATATATATATATATATATATTTTTCATGTTTATACCTTCTTTTTTATAGATACAAATATTTAAGTAAATGATCTGTTTATAATAAACAGTATTAACGACATTTACCGGCCTGAATGTCCGAGAAATTTTCATAGAAAATATTCATCCTCCGACAGGAATCGAACCTGTATCCTATAAGGAAGCATCATATAGCCTGACATGCTTTACCGGAGGACGCATATTTTCTCGGGCATTCAGGCCGGTAAATGTCGTTAATACTGTTTATTATAAACAGACATTTTACTTAAATATTTGTATCTATAAAAGGACGTAAAACATAAAAAAAATGGACGAATGAACATAAAAATGTCTTTAAATAATTGTCAGACTTTGGCTTTTTCCTATTATATATATATATATATATATATATATATATATATATATATATATATATATATATATATATATATATATATATATATATATATATATCTCATAGAATAGAAATCTAAATTAACTATAGCTATTTCAACCAACAAGTCAATTTTGGCACACACACATATATATATATATATATATATGTGTGTGTGTGTGTGTGTGTGTGTGTGTGTGTGTGTGTGTGTGTGTGTGTGTGAAAATATATAGAAAATAGGAAAGAACTGGTTAGGTAAATAATCCAAAGTTCCTTAGTATTTTTTATTATTTTTTTTTTTAAAATAGTGCTCGATACAAAAGTAGAGCATAAATATAATTATTTATTTAAAAATATGATTCCAACTCGCGACATAAGAGGTCTCATGTTTCAAAACAAGAGCCGAAATATATATATATATATATATATATATATATATATATATATATATATATATATATAAAAATTTCAATTGAGAAATGACCGACCATAACTGCCAGTTTCATGCGATTTTGTGCAATCATCGGGCGGTCGGAAGCTGTAGTTTATGAAAATAGATACTCTGATAGCACCAGACAACTCCAAGATGGTAATCTTGATGAGTTTGGCAGTCGTGGTTGGTCACTGTCCACTTGAAATTTGACTTAAAATATATTAAATCTTTGCCATTTATTATGGCTCTGACCATTTCTTTCCTGTGTGAAATCTTCGGCAGAATCTTTTTGGGAGCTGCTTATTCTTATTTCGAATTATATATATATATATATATATATATATATATATATATATATATATATATATATATAAAGTGAACATTGAAGTCAACTCTCAGAGTCGACAGATTGTTTCATGCTAAACGCAATCATCAGGCATGGTGTTTGCGTTTAGCATGAAACAGTCGCCTGTAAGTGCTGATTTCAATGTTCACTTTTATATTTACATACGCTCTATCTCTGATATTGAGTAATTCATCCTATAAATATAGAACTCCTTAAAATATATTTATTCATATACATATATATATGCGTGTGTGTGTCTGTGTGTGTGTTTGTGTGTGTGTGTGGCAAAATTTCAGAGACAATATATCTGTAAAAGGACAATATGGATATATATATATATATATATATATATATATATATATATATATATATATATATATATATATATATATACAGATAGATAGATAGATAGATAAATAGATAGATAGATAGATAGATAGATAGATAGATAGATATCCTTTCACCGTAAGCAAAGAGATAATGCCACTATGATGCAATTGAGTGTCAGAGAATATGAGAAGCCGAAAACATTATATATGAGAGGACAATAAAAGAACAGGAATTAAGAAGACAAAAAATGACGATTTGCATTGCGTTTAAATTTTTTAAGATAAAATTTGATTAGAATTCAAGAAGCCGGAAGAGAGTTTCCAAACGGAAAAAAAATTAATGACGCCTTTCGCCGAAAGCATCTTCTCTCTTTGGCTTCCTCGGGTTTGAATGAAAGGAAGCCAAAATTCTATGCAAGTATATGTGTATAATAAAAAATACTCTTTAGTTTGAGCGGACTGATTTAAAATCTAACAACACCAAACGCCGCTGATAAACAAACACACAAACAAACGGGAGGGCAGACACTCTCTGTTTGAACATTGAAGTCGATAAGATATCTAAGTTAATTTAATTTATTGTTACTACTTAAACTTAACCCTAAGGCATTTTCCTCACATATAGTTTTGTCTTTCTTTCATTCTAAACCGAGAAGCCAATATATATATATATATATATATATATATATATATATATTAATGCATGTTTCATTAAATAATATAGACAAGTTTTGTCCCATTTATTTTAAGTAAGTTCCTTTCATATTGTCTGATAAGTTTAATAACATTATCATTGAAAGACGAAAGGAAATCACCATATTGATACATGTTTAAATATAATCTAAGCTTTCGGCTCACATAAGCCATTATCAAAGATGACAATTACATTTCAATTTATCAAACAATACACAGACGAAACAATAATGATAGTCTGTTTTTGTTACATGAAAAATTTCGAAGCAACGACAAACCCGTCTATACGTAGTAGCTCATGACCGCGTGAGAGTGAAAACGAGTAGTATTAAGTATATATATGTATTAATTAGTACATATACGCGTATCTACGTTTTGGGCGTGCGACTATAGTTTCGCTGGGTGGTGTTCCAGTTCGTAAGGCATGCGTATCTATACTAATTAATACATATCTTTGCTCTGTATGACCGCATTTAGCACTATTACGTTTACATCTCATGCATAAATTTAACGATTATTTATTTGCTTGCCAGCGTATGCACACCAGCACACGCGTACACGCCTGCTTATATTTGGCCGTTTCATTTATCCACTTTACAACTATATATATATATACCTATATCTATCTATCTATCTATCTATCTATCTATCTATCTATCTATCTATCTATCTATCTATCTCTCTCTCTCTCTCTCTCTATATATATATATATATATATATATATAGTAATTCATCGAGTCTAGGAGAATCCTCAACAGAATGCAGAAAGCAGTAGATGGCCATTTCGTCCTATTTGGGACTCATCAGCAGTGTGAATCCACTATCGAGATTCGAACTCCTTACAACAGAAGCGTCATACCAACTGTTCCAACGGGCTCCGGCGACAAAAAAAAAAGAAACTGAACTGAATCGATATCGCGCCGCTACTCACAAATTCCGTGGTGATATTCATCCAAATATGCATAAGCCAACGCCCCAAGAGCCACGTGTTTCCTTTCCTTTCCCACGAACCGCTCCATCGCAGAACATTAGCTGGGTCAAGCAAGGATATACAAGTAATAGAATTTGGGAGATTTAGGCAAATCTTTATAGTATTTCATCGAGTCTAGAAAAATCCTCAACAGAATGGCGAAAGCACTAGACGGCCGTTTCGTCCTATTTTAGGACTCATCAGCAGTGCGCATCCACTACCGATATTCGAACCCGAACCATTTCGGTACAACGGAAGCGTCACGCCAACTGTACCAACGGGCCTCGATGATAAAGAAGAAACTGAATAGACTTGATATAGCGCCGCTACTAACAAATTCGTGGTGATATTCATCCAAGTATGCATAAGCCAACGCATTGTGCCCCCAAGAGCCACGTGTTTCCTTTCCCACAAACCGCTCCATCGCAGAACATTAGTTGGGTCAAGCAAGGATATACAAGTAATAGAATTTTGGTGATTTAGGCAAATCTTTATCGTATTTCATCGAGTCCAGAAAAATCCTCAACAGAATGCAGAATGAGGATTATTCTAACAGTGCGTAAGTGAATGATAAAATGGAAAAACGTATTTCGTTCCAAGAAGGAATTTTGCAATTTTAAAGCAATTCCTTTTCAAAACAAAACGCGTCACTGATAGATTGTTTTTCATTATGACATTCGCTTACATAAATGATATTTCACAAAATTCTTGTCGAGTTAACCAAAAATGTCATTGCAAAACACGAATCTGGGAGAACCGTCTTGATAATTGAAAGTAGAAATTAGGCATTGACTCGAGATCAATCATCTTATCTGTGTCAATGCTGGTAAACATTGTCTCATGCCTGTCGGTATGACATACGTTATTCTGAAACTGATCTATATTCGACGCTCTTCTTGCTTCAGTTTGTGACCTGGCGATCAGCAACATCTTTCAAACATCAGATTTCACGCACCATAGTCTCTAAGAAAATCAGTTTTTAAGTGTTTTGTTTAAGGGCTGAATTTTTTGTTGGAATCATCAGATTTTGCCGAAAGCGTCGCATCCCCCTTCCGGGGAACGCGTACATAATCCATGATAGACAAAAGTTAGTTAAACAGTTTAGATAAGGAATTTTTATAAAGCTTTTTTTTCTTTTTTTTTTTTTTTTTTTTTGCTGGCCTTGAAAATATATATACAGTGTAACACGGATATAAGAGAGTTGTCGGGACCGGAGAAGAAGCCTCTTATATCCGGGTTTCTCTTATATCCGGGTTTGGTCTATTTTATATACATTAACACAGGCTCTAATTTGGGACCAGAGAAAATCTCTCTTATATCCGGGTTTCTCTTATATCCGGGCCTCTTATATCCGGGTTACACTGTACAAAAATAAAAAAAAATCATATTAAATTATCTTGAATATGATTTGGAATTGATAATTATACGACAATTCTTTCTTTTGCGCGATTATAAAAGGCAAGGTTGCAAAAAGTCACACTACCATTTCAGAACTTTCATCATACTCCGCTTGAGGAGGACACCTCAGCAAGGTGGAATGGTTAGAAAGCTTGTCTTGCTAGATCAGTTACTACTGAAAAGTGAGTTCGATCGTCACTGGGTGTCCCATATTTTCGGTCTTGTGCCACATCTAAGCTAAGCTTGGAAAATCGCTATTCTGCTTGAGGTTAGCATCAGCCATACGAATGGAAAGGAAAAAAGATTTTCTAATACGATTAAAAGAGAGTTTCCCTTTGGAGGCGTAAAAATATTTTTTTAAAATAATGATGTTAAAGGCAATACATTTTTAAATAGTATACTCGTTTTTTTTAAAATATGGGCGCATTAGAAAAAGATGTGAAAATTGGCAAGGCTAAAGCCTAGGCCACCATGAATAAAATGGATGTAATCTGGAAATCTGATCTACAAGACAACCAGCCAGTTTTGCGCCACTGTAGAGTCGGTTTTAATGGCTGATGCAACTGCTTGGACATTAACTACAGCCATAGAGTCGAAGCTAGATAGAACCTACATTCGGATGCTGAGAGGTATATTGAACATCTCTTGGAAATAATATCCAACTAAATCACACCTCTACCGACCAATCCCTAATATTTCTACAACCTTAAACCCTAGAGTCTAAGCTTGATGAAGTGAACACTTGGATAATGAGAGCTATACTTAACATCTCTCGGAGACAACATCCAACTAAATCACAGCTCTACGGACTAATCTCTAATATTTCTACAACCTTAAACCCTAGAGTCTAAGCTTCATGGAATCAACACTTGGATAATGAGACCTATACTTAACATCTGTTGGAGACAACATCCAACTAAATCACAGCTCCACGGACCACTCCCTAATATTTCTACAACCTTGAACCATAGATTCTAAGCTTGATAGAGCCAACACTTGGACACTGAGAGCTATACTTAACATCTCTTGGAGACAACATCGAAATAAAACTCACAACTCTTTGGTTCCTGTCACTGGATCTAACCAACACCTTTATCCACTGTGCCATGTGTCCTTAAGGACATCTGTGTATGAATTTCTGGGACTTATAAACTTAATCAAAGATTTGTGAGTTCAATACCTGGTTATGGCAGTGGAGAACTTGGAGAGGTGAACTAACAGGAGATAACTGATAACTGACATCCATTACGCATGGAACGTGGAACTAGAACAGTCTACCCCAGTGAGCGAAATAAATGGTTCAGTTCGACATTCCAACCACTATAAGAAGGATGGAGTGTACAACGGCTGAAACGTTGTGATAAATATGGCAACAAAGATGAGGACAATAGTCGGAATAATGTAAATAGTGTACATAATACCTCATCACAGAAATATACACAGAAATTAAATGTTTTTAATATATGATGATAAATATTGAGTAGATCGACATTCCAACCACCTGAAGAAGCCCGGAGCGTACAACGGCCGAAACGTTGTAATAAATATGGCGTCAAAGATGAGGACAATAGTCCGAATAATGTAAATAGTGTCCATAATACCTCATCTCAGAAATATAGACAGAAATGAAATATTTTTAATGTATGATGATAAATACTGAGTAGTAGGCTTTTAAACTTAGATTCGTTTTACCTACCGTTCGTATGTCGAATGTTTTGTTGTTCGGTTACGATGTCGTTCATAACTTTGTAAGTGATCAAGCAATTCGAAATAAAACCGATAACGCTATCAACCCTAGAATAACATGTTATGTTTATATTGAACATTACGAACAAGGCTTGTTCATATGTCCTTTTATTTAACACATGAATACATGTATTTGTGACCGAAGGAGGAGTGTGAACAGGCAGGTTGACACTGTCTCTCCTACTTGCTAATCTGACTCATGACCCATTCACTCTAACAATTGACGCAATCTACACAAGAACCAATCCTTTTTCATCTAATCCCAACATGTACTATAATACTACATTTTGAGAGTGGAAACTAATAAAACCCTTATGATGATAAAGATTTCTGAATATGTATATTTTTTTAAATAAAAATATATACAGAGTGTCCATAAAGTTCGTGTGCACTTTAAAAAAATTATAACTTTATTTGGATTTGCGATAGAAATAATTTGTAAAAAGGATTAGAAAGAAGTAAATCTATATTTTTTAAGGTTTTACTGAAATTTTATTTAAGTTTCCACATGCCCTCCATCATTAGCAATACAAAGGGTAATACGATTTTGCAGTTCACGGAAAACATTTGCCAACTGATTTACAGTAAGGCCTGAAATCACATTAGTTATTTTAGCTATACTTAAAACTTTATAACATTTTTTACAGATTATTTCTATCGCAAATACAAATATAGTTATAAATTTTTTAAAGTGCACACGAACGTTATGGACACCCTGTATAAAAAGTTTTTCTATCAGGTGGTGGGAGAGAACCCATTAATTCAAAATAAAACAAAACAAAATAAAACCGTGTTAATATGGTACCGTCCAGCCCACAAAAATAAAAGTGGCCGCTGTATCCTGCCGATAAAAAGAAGCTGCCTCGCTAGTGACCGGGCGGAAATCATTTTAAGAGTGGGGAAGTATAACAAGCTGGTTCAATCAAGATGAGCAAAACTGGGATGATCGAGTATCTTGATCAGGATCATGAGAAAAGTCGGGACGAGGCTGCGAACGACAGTCACCCAAGTTAACTAGAACAAAAGATACTACCATAATCAGGGATGAAATCCGCTGGGAATCCGTCTCTTCTTGGGACTAAAAAGGAAATCAATATTGGCCAGATTCACGCGAACCAGCCTAGCAACTCGCACGCACCTTTCGGTGAAATCCGCGGAAACCAAACGTTTTCTATCAGTTCTGATCTTCATACTGAGATGATACCCAAAGAATCCAATCACATCCTGATGAGACTAGTGTCCGTTTCGTAAGATTCCCTCGGCTCGCCTCACTCACACTACCATTCTTGCCACGGACAGCTGTCTGATAAACGCCAACCATTTCACCACAGGCCATGAGTCGACACATTGTGGCACAAGTACGCGAGTTCAATGATCACAAGCTGCCCGGAATCGATACGCGCTGTCAACTCACCGACGTGGTCCCAGCGAAGAGTGGGAGAAGGCGTGCTCGGCCGTCTCCTCTAACACATGATCACACCGGTGACAATCAAGCATATCTGACAAGCCTACCTTGAAATATACATCAATGAGAGGCAGCGCATTGCCAGCCAATCGCCAGCTAAGCGAAAACATAGGTTTACTGAGATAATCTACCGCTGCCGCCCAAAACCAGAAAGAGTGCAAATCATCTACCAACAACCCAAGCCGATCTCAGAGCGGGTTCGCCACGACCCCCTCCACAAATGCCAATTTTACTAATAATCAGCATTTCCTAGTAAGAAATGGGGCCAGAATTGCTGGGCATCACAAGAAATCACTTTTAAGAAAAATTGAGATTGAGCCGAAGTAGATTTTTTAAAATTATTTCACCCCAAGCAAGGCGGGAATGTCACTAGTACCCAGGGATTTAAATCTCAATTTTTGAACATTGTAGTTATCAGGGAAGCAAGTAAACAGAATGGATTTCCACAGGTGGGAAGTGCGAGATAAAAGCATCAGTTGACTGTGATTGTATAATATATTGTTGAAAAGGGCAATAAAAGTTACGTCTACTTTACATTTTGCTAACTCGATATTAACAGATTGAGATAGATAGATAGATAGATAGATAGATAGATATGAAGAAACTAGATGCAGATAGATAGATAGATAGATAGATAGATAGATAGATAGATAGATAGATATGAAGAAAAAGAAAGATATATAGATATGAAGAAAAAGATAGATAGATAGAGAGAGAGATAGATATGAAGAAACAGATAGATAGATAGATAGATAGATAGATAGATATGAAGAAAAAGAAAAATATATAGATATGAAGAAAAAGATAGATAGATAGAGAGAGAGATAGATATGAAGAAACAGATAGATAGATAGATAGATAGATAGATAGATAGATATGAAGAAAAAGAAAAATATATAGATATGAAGAAAAAGATAGATAGATAGATAGATAGATAGATAGATAGATAGAATATATCTTAAACTGTTCAAGGCAGTTTGGTTTTAAGATAGAAAAATACAAACATATATATATATATACAGACATAGGCATTAATATAATGTGAACAAACATAGATCGATGTCGGCACAAGTTCGCATCTGATTGTCATCCTGTCTCCTTATTCTTCCCCCCCCTTTCGTGAGCAGGAGTCACAGAGGAGTGTGGGTTGTGAATGTGTTTGGGGGAGTCAGGCTCTCCTTAAATCATATCGCAGATCTCCTTCATGCCGACTAGTGTACTCTGAAGTCTCAGGTCGCCAACCAACTCCCTCGGTGGCGCTCCTATGCCAGGAAGATCGATACGTTGAAAAAGTTTCCCAGGTTTTCAGGGTCAATGCTGGCTTGTGCGAGCGATGTCTTCAACTGATCCTTGAAGCGTCGTTTTGGGTCTCCGCGTGGCTTCTTGCCGCTGGCGAGTTCTCCAAACAGGATGGTAAAAGGGAGTTGGGAGATAGATAGATAGATAGATAGATAGATAGATAGATAGATAGATAGATAACATGAACTGAATGAGATATATAATAAATTAAGATATATATATATATATATATATATATATATATATATATATATATATATATACATATATATATATATAGAGAGAGAGAGAGAGAGAGAGAGAGAGATAGATAGAGATAGGTATATACCGACTTAGAAAATAATAAATTAGATAGATAACGTGAACTGAGATAATAATAGATTAAGATCGCGAGATAGATAACATGAACTGAATGAGTTATATAATAATAAAGATTGATATATATATATATATATATATATATATATATATATATATATATATGTGTGTGAAAAGTGAATATAAATATAAATAAATATATATATATATAATTATTTATATATTATATGCGGTAATTAGAAAGCGCTCAATATCAGAGATAGAGCTAACATATTTGGTTGATAGATGTGAGTTTGGACCCTGGGTTTCACGCTTTAGCGATCGTCAGACAAACTGATTAATGTTTTAAAAAATTTGGGTTTATGTAGATTGCATGTATTGGTGTTATTGTGAAGTGGTGGGGAAATTTCGTCATTTGTCATTCATCGTACTAACGCAAGCATCGATGTATGCAGACACATATATTTGATTACATATATATAAACATATGTAGACAGTTTCGGCTATGACACATGATACCTGTTATGTCTATACATACGCATTTGTTGTTAAAATGTTGAAATTTAAACATTGAAGTGTGGCGGAAATCGTTATTGTCTCGTGAATGTATCCAATATTATGAAATTTTTTTTTTTTTTTTTTTTTTTCCGTTGAAAAATATTTGAAAAATATTTTCTCGCACGTATGTATATATGTGTGGTGGGTTTGTGTAAATTATGATAGGTAAAAATTATAATTAAATTTATTCTTAAATTTTTGAAAAAATGGGGTTTATTTGTTATATTTATTGCACCGTGTATTAGTGTGTTGTTTGTACAACAACACTATGCACATCATCGGTGCCATGAGTAACAATCACAACCTTTCATTCAACAACAGGAAATATTCGAACAGCAACTTTCTACATACATATGGCAGCAAAAAGACAAAAACATCACATTTGGGAAATCATTTTGCCTACATCAATAATATCTTGCTAAACAAAAATCAGAGATAATCTCCAAATCATGAGAACAAGTATTATTATCCAATTGTAAAACGGATAAAACAGACAAACCACCAACAATCACAAATTAATTTCAAGATACCATATCAAAATAATTGCACCTATCATTATTATAATTGCACCATTAGTAATCACTTTTACCACCTTACCTATTAACTATCAATATTATCATTACCACCTACACACACCATCACTTACACATCACACCACTATTAACATATAATCCACTACAATCTTTATTACCCCCCAGCATATTTAATACTTTAAAACAATATGATCAGATATAATTTCCATATGTAACCATGAGAACAAACACCTATTACCAGGCAGCTTTAATATAATAATAATTTTTGTAATTAAAATTATAGCAATCTTCAACTACCATAATTTTACATAGAATACCTATTATCAGGATTTATACCAAAATAAATTAATACATATAACAAAATAAAACAAAAATAAAACACCAACAACAACTTTTTAGTTCAAACTACCACCACTATAACTACATTCATGGTTTTATCATTCTCCCACCACCGTTACTAATCATTTCTACCAATCTGCAATTTCTTCCAGTTTACAATAACTATTAGCTAAAACCTAAATAGCATTGTCTCCAATCCTTTGAAACATTACTATCACATCATATCATATAAACCCGTTATTAAATTATACATCACCATATAAATTAAACAATAAGGATTACAATTTTTTTACCTGTTACATATACACAGTCACCAAAAAACAAACAAAATAACAAATAAACATTTTTAAATATTTTAACAAATAAACCCCATTTTTTATTTTCAAATATTTTCAACGGGTCATTCAAACTCATTTCATCTATCCAACATAAAATATATATATATATATATATGTATGTATGTATATATATATATCCCGACGGACGACCAAGTATGTATCTGTATATGTCTGATACATCGATGTTTGCGTTAGTACGATAATGATGACGAAATAATTTAAAAACCCAAATAGATAGATATATATATATATATATATATATATATATAGTTTGGTAATAATATATAGATAGATAGATTAGATATATAAAATAGATAGATAGATAGATAATATATCACGAACTGACTGAGTTAGATAATAATAAATTAGATAACATAAACTGAGTTAGATAATAATAAATTAAGATAGATAGATAGATAGATAGATCTAATCAATTCTCTATATACGAAGTGGACAACGTAATTAACAGACTGATATATTGCGCTCAGACTAAAACCTATAATCAATCGTAAGTCTGATTATTTTCTGAATTTGATAATGATCTCCCATTATAGCTGATTTATTTGGAATCATTGATATAATCAATGTTAGATTAATAAAAAGATTTAAGAATATTAGAATAGTGAGCATGACTGTCTCCACTTATCTTTCCTTATGCTTCTGTTGCTGCTGCTGTTGAGGCCTTACTGTCATGTCTCGTTCTATATTTATGAACAACTCCGATATTGTATTTCTTGATAAGTTCGGCCAAACTCAGTAATAACTGAGCAGGAATACATAATATTAACACAAGTTATCCACAGTCATAGAAAGCGGAACGAGAACAATCTAAAGCCGTAATAAAATTAGTTAAGTAAAATCTACAAGTTGAAATAATAAAAATTAAGTACAAGTCTTAGTTAAGTCTCGTACTATCGAGGATTATTCTATTATTTAAAGTTAATGTCATACTATTGTTCGCAACATCAACAATTGATTCAAGAAGTCTATTTTTTTTTAATTACCGTATAGTGCGGCGTACAAGTCGAGTTTTCAAGCCTAAAAAATATTTCCGGGTTGCACCTTTTGGGCCACCGTATGTTTGAGGTGGGAGGCAACCTATAAGCCTAACTCAGAATTATGGGCTAAAAATCTTGAGGTCGACTTATACGTCGCAATTTACGATAGATATGACATGTGCACACATTGCCAAGAGGACAGGCTACTTCGACGTGGTGTAATGGTTAACAAGCTTGTCTCGCTAGATCAGTTACGACTGAATATATTCGATCCTCACTGGGTGCCCTAAACTTTCTAGGTTTTTTCTAAGCGTAGCTTAAATGTAGCACAAGGCCGAAAGTATGGGGCACCCAGTGAGGATCGAATTCACTACTGAGTTGTAATTGTTCTAGCGAGACAATCTTGCTAAACATTACATCACGTCGAGAACACCGATTATATATCTTACTGTTCTTTCTTTTTATTATAATATATATATATATATATATATATATATATATATATATATATATATATATATATATCAGGTTAATTCTAGAAGATAACGTTTCTCTTTGTAATTATGTTGCTCAAAACTAAACTAGTGATGTTCCATAATCACCGAGCAGACACTGAAGTTTCACCCATCACGATGAACGGACGTTCTCTTAAGGAGGCCCCTTTGCCTCGAGCGTCTATTGGGATTTAATCTCAACTCAGACCTCAAGTGGAATTCGTTCATACGATCCATCGCTAAAGGTTCTCCTGTAATTACCTGACATCTCCTTCTATCCTTTACTTTTACAAGAGACAGATCTGGACGAAAATGAGACACTGCTACCATATATGGACATGAGCTGGTCATTTGTCACTTTCCAGTCTCGATGGGTTCCAGAAACGTCTCCACGTCCTTGGGGGTGATGAAATATTTCCCACCCTATAACCCCTTTCTCGCAGACGGAACATCGAAAGCCTCTTGTTGCTCTATCACTTTTTCTATGGAAAGTATACAAACCAACTATATTCCTAAGTTTCCCAGTTCTATGATTCACAACTAAGACCCACCATGCCACGCCCATTGTAACAAACTACCCTCATTCCTTTCATATTCCATTGATGACATGTAAGTTCCAATCGATCAGTTTCTTCCCACGACCCACTGTTTTGTAGAATCGACTCCCTAGAGGATTCTTCCTCGATCTCTACAATCTTAACCTGTTCAAGTCTCGGGTTAACAGTTATACATCTTTCTCTGTAAATTTCAACCTGGAGTGGCTCTTGGGCCTTGTACAGGGTGAACATCATTGTAAAAAATATCAATTAACAGATCAGTAATAAGAATAAATAAAATTAAATATGTTCACTTATGACTGTATATATTATGAGATTCATGGAATCAAACCCAGTCTTCAGGAGACGGTAATGGTAATTTGGAATTATTTTCAGAAATCATATTTTCCTTAAAAGACGTTGTTATATGGCGTAAACCTCTTTGAATCTAATGTGGACATATACCTTATGTTTAATCTACTTTTACATCATAATGTCAAGGAAATGGTAATAGTAATATTAACTGTATCCTTATAAACAGATGGTAATGGTAATATTAAACGTTTCATAATAGGGAGATGGTAATGATAATATTAACCATTTCCTTATCAGGAAATGGTATGGGCAATATTAAGCGTATCCTCATAAGGAAATGGCAATGGTAATTTTAACGATTTCTTCATAAGGAAATGGTAATGGTAATATTAACTGTTTCCTCATAAGGAAATGGTAAGTGCAATTTTAACCATTTCCTTATAAGTAAGTGGTATGGGCAATATTAAACGTTTCCTCATAAGGATATGGTAATGGTAATATTAACCATTTCCTTATGAGGAAATGGTAATTGTAATATTAACTATTTCTTTATAAGGAAATGGTAACGGTAATTTTAACCAGTTCCTTATAAGGGGATGATAACGGTAATATTAACCGGTTCCTTATATAGAAATGGTAACGGTAATATTAACCGGTTCCTTATAAGGAAAAGACAACGGCAATATTAACCAGTTCCTTATAAGGAAATGGTAATGGTAATATTAACTATTTCTTCATAAGAAAAGGGTAACGGTAATATTAACCGATTCCTTATATAGAAATGCTAACGGTAATATTAACCGGTTCCTTATAAGGAAAAAGTAACGGTAATATTAACCGGTTCTTCATAAGGAAATGGTAACTGTAATATTAACCGGTTCCTTATAAGGAAATGGTAATATTAACCAGTTCCTCATAAGGAAATGCTAATAGTAATATTAACCATTTCTTCATAAGGAAATAGTAACGGTGAAATTAACTGTTTCCTCATAAGGCAACATTTGATGTTCATTGAACGAGCTCCCAGGAAACTTGTGAAATCGTTTTATTAAAACAATTTTTCAGTCAATTAGACTTTCTCAAGTTCATTGTTATTACTCGTTCTAGTATTTGTTTGATGTCGTATGGAATATTAACATTTTCTTTCGTACAGTTTTATCTCTACGACTTACATGTGCCATCAATTTTAATTTTTCCTGTTGAATATCTTTAAGTAATATGGTTATTTATATATGTTATTTAGTTAAGTTCACTGGGATTCTGTAGCGCAAGTCCACGATGTTCGAATGAGGATTGTCCTCGCTAAGACCTACAGGCTTCATTCCCTTGAAGGCTTTTTTTAATTATTAATCTAAGAAAGTGGTTGTATACAGCTGATAGTTTAGATAATTCTGGACATCCATATGAAGGTTTCGATCTGACATATCGATTTAAGAACATGGCTCGACCTTTTAGTTTGATGTTTTGCTTTTGTAGCAACGTGCGGGATTGTGCGAAACTATCCTTAGCGCACAGCCTAATGTTGACTTTACCATCAAATCTTCTGAAGAGTGGATGCGAATCCCCGAAACTCAGAGTAGACACAGACATGAGAAAAGTGAACGAATTTAAATTATTATTATTATTATTATTATTATTATTATTATCATAGTAATTGCAGTTGGGGATTCGTCTCTAGATGTGCAGGTCAAATTCTTTGCTTCCGGGCAGAGATGACGAGGCTATA